TGGCCATGTGATTTCCCACTCTAGCTTGGGAAAGGGCTGGGACAACCCCCCACCACTCCAGGCGTGCCCCCCCCTACTCCCTCCCAACTCTTCCTCCGCCCTCTCCTTTCCTCTTCTCACCCTTGCTCTGCTGCTGCCCCCACCCCACTATGTCTTCCAATCGATGGGCCATAGGGGGCCAGTGCCGGCAGTGAGAGTCCAGCCTATCCACGCTCACCAGCAGTGTCAGGGGAAGGGAAGCAATGCGGCCCCAGCTCGCTCTGCTTTCTGGCCATGTCGCTCCACTTCCTGCCGATGCGTGCAGGGGGGAACCCTTCCTAGAGTAACGTAGTCAGAGGAGCAGAGCAAACTCGGGTTGGAGTGTGGGGGCTGGACCCCTGCTGTGCGCGCCAACCCCTCCTCTGCACTAGTTCTTCTGCCAGATGCTGGCTAGTCCCTTGCTCCTCCTGCCCATCGCATTTTGAGTGTGTGCTCTGTTGCCCCCCTACATGTTACCTCTGACGACAGGCATATATTCCAATAAAAAAACCTTGCTCCTGCTTGAAAGGACCTGCTAGTTTCTATAGCTGCTGGGTCAGGTGCTAGCTCACAACCTCACTGTTGGTTGGGGGGTTCGGCTCCAATCTCTGATTTATGTACAGAAGTCAGCATCTTAAGCGCAGTTTAGAAACGAAGGGTGTGTCCACAATGCAATGAGGGGTGTGTCCTCTAAAGCAGAACCGCTATAGCACTTCAGCTCTGCCATGGTAGTGCCAAAGGGTGGGGGTGCTTCAGACCTCAGCAGAAGGGTTTTTTCCCTTTTACAGCCTTGCACAACCTAGTCAGTCTAATGGGTAAGTGAAGACCAGGCCATATTCCTCTCTTTAGCGGCATCTTAACCAATGCCATGTTTCCAATCAATATCTTCATCAATTTGTAACAGTCCAGATAGAACAGTCCCTTAGGGTATGTCTACACTACAGCGTATTTCGAAATACTTAATTCAAAATAAGTTATTTTGAAATAACACGTCTATACACAAAATGCATTTTGAAATAGTGTTTTGCTATTTTGAAATAGTGTGTCCACACTGAGTGGACACTGAATCGCATTTAAGGCCAGCCGGAACCAGGTCCAGCAGGACATCAGGTCAGGAGTTACTTTGTGTGGCTGCTGCCTGAGGCTATTTGATGCCTGTGCTTAAAGGGACGCCCCCGGACAGCTTGTTCTCAGCTTTCCCTGCTTGCTTGCCTACCTCAATGAGAGACAGCAAAGCATTTTGTCTCTGTGTACTCTGGTTGCCCTCACTCGGGTCACCATCGCACTCTGCTATGTACATCTCAGACACTTCGCCAAAGGATTAATGCCCACAAAACAGATATCAGACAAGATCACAAAGAAAAAACAGTTTCTTGCCATTTTAACCAGAAAGGACACTCTCTCAATGACTTAACCACCTGCATTCTGCTACAAAGACCTTTTACATCTGCACGTGAAAGGGAATCCTCTGAACTGTCATTCATGTTAAAATTCGACACTTTCCAACAAGGACTTAGTTCAAATGTTTGTTATCTCACCCATTACCAAGATAGTTTCCCCAATTATCACCTCTAATACCATTAAAGGGGGGGAGGGGGGGGGTGAAATTCTGGTGAGACTGGGAAAAGGAGGCGGGAGAGGGTAGAAGAGATGGTGCGAGAGGGTAGGGGGAAACCAGGGAGGAGGGAGCTGGAAGGGGGAAGAAGGAGAGGGGAAGTTCAGGGTCTCGTCGGACCAACTTGATTTTCATGCAAACCTGCTTCTGGATTCGCATGTGTCCTTTGGTGACCAGGCTGGCAGCTATCCTGCCCTAGACAGCTGCATTCCTCCATCTAGTGTGGAGATCATGGACGTTGGGGGGCATTCCCCCCAAACCTGAATAAGATCCATGATCTCCATCCTGGACCAGGAAGGTGCCCGACTTCTCTGGGCCCTGGCAGGCTCCTGGAAGCTGGCAGTCTGCTCCTGGGGAGCGGTGGATGGCTGGCTGGCAGGGGCTGGCTGGCTTATGTTTTGGGGCCACTGGGTCAGGGGCAGTGACTGCTGGCTCTGGCCTGGCAGGCTTGGAGCTGGCACAGGCACTGTGGCCAGAGTCAACCCCTTTAAGGGCTCCGGGGAGGGGCGAGGGAGAGGAGTGTTCTTGGTTGAGGCCGGAGTGGCCACCAGGGCACCCTGGGAAGGCGGAAGGCCCCTTATTTCGATATAAGTGTCTACACAGCACTTACTTGGAAATAGCTATTTCAAATTTGGCATTATTCCTCATGGAATGAGATTTACCAAATTCTAAATAAGCGCGCCGCTATTTCGAATTAATTTCAAAATAGCAGTTTGGCTGTGTAGATGCTAGTAAAGTTATTTCGAAATAACAGCCGTTATTTCGCAATAACTTTGCTGTGTAGACCTATCCTTACAGAGTAAATGCACTGTGAGACAACTGTAATGAAATACTCTTTGTTGCTTTCTTAATTAACATGGAATGAGAAGATTACACAAGTAGAGGGCTCTAGGTGTGTGTTAGGGACGTAAAATCCCATTTAATCAATTAAACAATATGTTTAACTGGTTAACCAAATAAAGGGAGAGGGTGCAGGGGATCACTCCAGCCCAGCTGGGCTGGAAAGCGTGCACACACCCAGCCCACCCTCCACTGGGCTGGAGCGTGCCCTTCCCCCCTTCACTGCAGGTAGGGGCTGTTGGAGCCCAGCCTGAGCAGCTGCACCTGTGACACAAACACCCCAGCTGCTGGATGCCCGGGCCTGCCATGGACAGGGTCTGCTCTGGACGATAGTGGCAGGCAGGAAGCTGCTCTAGCCCCCACTGTTTAACCTTAATGAGTAAGCTTCACCCATTAAGGGTGAGGCTTATCAGTTAAACATTCGAGTGTGTGAATGTTTGTGTGATATATATATATATCTATCAACAGCGTTGCTCACCATCTGATACTGCTGACTGATCAAAAGTAACATTAACTGAAGTCAGTTTAACTCTCCAATGGGAGGGCTCATCGTGGTGAGGAGAATCTTTTATGTAAGATGTATAAATGACCACACCCTACTTTACCAAAATGAAAATTGCATAAAAAGAAAACTATTGTAGTTGCATCACAGAAGACTGAAGGAATTGTAGCTGCTATGTTGCACTTCCTACTTGCATGCTAACTCCAGCTGGTGCCTGTTTACACAAAAACTTCTGCGTTTGAAGTGAGTGATTCTCTGTCTATGCTTTCTGGACTTAAAAAAAAAATCCCCTCCTCCTTTCTGAGCAAGGAGTCACTCCACATCTAATACCGTGCAGGGCATATCTGCCTCTGGCTCCCAGCCACTTTATCTGTAGATTATTTTAAGCCAAGAGACTACAAGTATGTGTGGGGGGTGAACAAGAGGAGTCGGGGGCATTGGCCTAATGTTTATTAGGCAATCATAAACTTTACAAAATGTAGAAAGTTGAAGTAAGATTTGTGGTATCACCTGAAATGCTTTGTGTACTGGCACTTAAACCCCATCTAGCCTCATATTTAAGCATCGGTTGAATTTCAAACATGTGATTAATCCCACTAACTTTGACAGGACTGCTCCCATGCTTTAAAGAGTGGCTAGCTCACTCAGCATTTGCAGAACTGAACCCATAATAGTTGTCTCCTTTTGAGGGAAGAAAGTGTGTGTGTGGGGGGGTGGGCGAGTGTGGCCATGCCACCTAAACTCCCCTCCCTCCGCTCTGAAAGACGATCTTGGTTTTAGGCTATCTTCAGCGAGTGTTTAAATTCTCTATTGCTCTTTTTCTGTCCCCCCTTTTTTAAATTCTCAATTGTTGCTAATTTGGGAACATGTGGTGAGGGAGATAAGGAAGGGGCCTTCTTCTTGCTGGTCTCAGTCTGTATTTTAACTGTTGGCCATTACTCTTCTGGCTATGCCTCTGTAGATAAGGGCTGGTAATTATAGGCTTGCTTGTAGCAGTCTAGTACCAGTATTCCTTGTCAGTCCAGGGTGAGCTTCCTTATGGCAACTTCCTCCTAGCGACAGCCACCATGGCTGCATTAGCACAGGCCAGCCCCATAATGGTGGAACTAGAGATGTAAAATCCAGTGTAATTAGTTAACCGGTTAATCATTAAGATTAACTGGATAACTGATTAAACAGGGGCAGGCAGCCCAGCTGCTTCCATCCCTGCACTAGGCTGTCCGCTTCCAGCCCACATGGGCTGGGAGTTGGCTGCCTGGCATGGGGCCTGTGGGGAGGGCTCTTAATGGTGATGCTTACAGGGTAACCAATTGTCTGTTCACATCCTTGGGGGAAAAACAAATAGTCCTGTAGCATCTTAGAGACTAACACAAGTACATGTATAGGATCATGCGCGTTCGTGGGCAAAAACCTACCTCCTCGCTTTTCATGGGATCCTGTTCATTTCCATAGCACTCATTATGCTCAGTGGGTGAGGCAATGTCTTCTGTTGGATGAAAATACCCTTTGGCTTGGGCGCAAACATTTTTTGCTGTGCGTTCACTCCATATCTGATGTATCAGCCCTTGTTCTCTAAGGGAAATATGCACAGGACCTTCAAAAGATGAGCTTGGGGACTTAAATTCATAATTCTGCTAGACACTAAAAATCATGATCTCAACACAAACACTGGTTGTATAGCCTACTGACCTTTTGTCTCATGACTGCAGAGATGTTAATGGCTCACATCTTATGCTTAACAACCTGTCTCACCTTGTGTTTCGTTGTTACATGCTAGTTACCTTTTCCAGACCTGAAGAAGAGCTCTGTGAAACTCAAAAGCCTGTCTCTTCCAACATCAAAAGTTGGTCCAGTAAAAAAAATATTACCTCACCTGCCTTGTCTCTCTAATGTCTGTAAATGTTTAGAGATCCTCTATGGGAAGGTGCCCCAGACATATGAAAGTTATTATATTAAAGTAATACTATATTAGGGTTTAGCCATCCCAATTCCTTTGAAAAGTCATACAAATATTTGCTTCTAACGTGTATATTGAGGCAGCTAAATGGAAAGGCGGGGCAATTCTTCAGTCTAAAAACATTTTATTCTTTATTTATGTGGTTAGCTTATAGCACTGTAACATTAATACTTAGTTTTTAATGGCTTCTGTCAAGTTAGGTTCAAAAATCTTAATTTTTGTAAAAACCAAATAATCTCCGTTGTCTCTTAAAGCACACATTTTATTTTTGCACAATTGAAATGCAGAGGTGGTGTTTTTTCTGAATGTATACATTCCTCTGCATTGTTGGCAGCTTCCAGAATTGTTTCAAAGTATGAGAATGAATTCAGATGTGAACTGGACAAATCTAGTTGAGTGAAGAGCAAAAAGTTAAACGGAGCAAGTGGTGAAAAGTAAACTACAGGTTGAACCCCTCTAATCCAGCATTCTCTGGTCCGGCAACATCCATGGTCCAACATAATTTTAGTTAACTGTCTATCCTCTTATCACAGGGGTGGGCAAGTTTCCTGCAGTCCCATAAAGTTTGTTTGTGCCTAAATGTCTTCTAAGAGCCCAGTAAGCAGTGAAAGTGTTGGTAATGCTGCAAGACCATATTGACCTCCTGTGTTTCGGTAAATTCTCGGGTTTGGCACCAGTCAGATCCCAAGGGTGCCCAAATAGAGAGGTTCAACCTGTAGCTCTGTGTGTACACAGAGGATATTGTAAATAATCTAAGGTAATCTTGGGATTCTTTTAAAAATGTTTTTCCTCTTTTCATTGCCCCTTTTTGCAGATGTCAGCAACTGTTAAAGCATTGTACGCAAAGCCTTGTAACTCAGACTGTATTAGCTGAACTCTGGGACTGTAGGTGTGTTGTCCATATGGCTGTTTCAATCCTATTAGTCAAAATGCAAATAGGAGAAGGTTTATTTACATTCTCTTAACTCTAAATGGGCTTGTTTAAAATTTCTCTTAAAGATGATCAATTCATATTGTGGCATAACTGCTTTCGGTTTTAAAAATTAAACCTCTTTTAACTAAATAAATTACTGAGAAAGGAGAGTTTTTCTCCTCCTTTCCTATCCTTAATTACAAGTTTCAGGCCTAATGTTACAGCCTTTTTACACGCGTAACTTCCTTTTGAAGTTCACTGGAGTATAAACCAAATATACACAGTGGCTGCAGTGTTGAAAAAGTATTTATTTGCACTTGTTAAGTTCAGCGGCACAGTTTGCTTGGCTCCAGTTTGCTCCACCACTTGTCATGATGCCATCTCTCAGCTGCTGCATGTATATCCTGAATTAACACTGCCTTCACTGTATATTCTTTCTCTGAAATACGTGTGTGTATAAATATACCTTACACGTTTGCTGCCATTCATATAAACTATTCAGGCTTTTTTTAGTGCAGGGTGCTAAGCACGGCACTCCCATGAATAATAACAGGGATTTGTACATCTGCTTCAGTGCCCCATGCTCTGTACTGAACATTCACCCTGCAATATGCAGAAAATGCATAGAGAGAAGGATCTAAATAAAACACTTTAAAAAATGATTACTGGTAGGGCAAGCAAACTAAGCAGTTCATGTTTGGGTTTTATGCTCTTGCCTCAGTCCTTCAGTATATGATGGTTTATTGCACATAGTTTAATCGTTTTTCCTCTTTGGCAGTTTTCTTGTCTTCATAATACTGAGAAAAAAGCAGGGACATTTGATGCCAACTGTATTTCCAGTCTCTGAACTCACATGCCAGCTGAAAGTCCATGTCATGCTGTGCTCTGAGTGGTTGTCGCTGTTAAATTTCACGTGCTCGATTACTCATGGTTTTAGAGAGAGTAGGACAGGGAGGGAAAAGCCATACTTGTGTTGGGCTTGATCCTGAAAGGTGCTGGTAATGAACATCTCCAGTGATGACAGTAGGAATTGCTGGCGCACAGCACCGCTTCTTGGATTAGGTCATTTGTCAAGAGGGCAGGGGACCTGCTTAACCCTGGGCCCATCTGCATGTGATCTTTGTCATGGTTTGCTGCTCATTGCTCACAAAGAGAGAGCCTGTTGAAATTTGCTGCCTGCCCAGCTGCAATGTTCGCATTGGTTAAAATCTTTTTTTTTTTTTTTTTTTTTTTGTCTTTCTATGGCAAGGAGAGAGAAATGTCAGAATACTGTTACTAGGTGGCCATATTGCAGACTTAGGCAACAATCATTGCAAAAAACCTAGTCCATTTTATGATCCATTTTTCTCCTTTGCAGCATATTCTCATTCATTCCCACCAGCCCTTCCAAAGGGTTAGCGTAGAGGGTTGTTCCCAGGCGATTCAACCATGGTGTCTGCCTGTGTCCTTTCGCTTTCTTCTCTTGATGCATTTCACACATGAGCAGTTGGCTGGACCTGGGTCTTCCTGCCTCTTTGGTCAGGGCCTCCATTGCAGCAGCAGCGATAGCAGCAGCAGCTGCAGGCTATGGTCATCAGGGACAGCACAGTAACTGGGGAGAGAAATGAAGAGTATTGGCTTCTGAAAAGATCTTCCAGGAATATAAACATGCTAACTTTGCAGTGCCTTGAAGAGGCTAAATTTCCCAGAACATCTGCTGTAAATGTTAGATTTATATCTGTGCATTATTTGACATTGTGGCAAAAAAGCCCAATGACATTGGTTTATCCGTATGTGAGAGAGTAACCTTAATGCTATAGTGTAATGTATAATTACATCATACAGCACATTTCATTCCAACGGATCTCAAAATACCTTCCAGAATGTGCACCCTGTGAGGCAGTCATTGAACGTATAACATTTCCATTGCTATTGCTGGAAATTACATGCTTACAAGTCCTGGGGCATCAGGCCTAATAGGAATCCGCTGCTCCTCCGGTGTGAAACGCAGCAGCTGTGTAGTGTTGTGTGGCTATAAAGGGCGGAAAGTGAAGAAGAGTTTTCTGTTCAGATGAAATTACAGGGGGGATTTTAAGTATGCAGGAAAAAATTACCAGAGCTGGGATTTGTCTCTGATGTCAGTGTTAACATCCCATCTCTTAAGAAAAGTGACTTTAATTAAAACTTTAATTTCTTCCAAATTGATCATTCAAACTAGTAGACGTTTATATTTTTAGTTATCAAATTTAAGGCCAGAAGGGACCTCAGATCATCTAATCTGTTCCCCTATTATCTCACAGGCCACCAACAGCACCCAACAACCATCTGTCCAATTTATATGTAATGTCAGACATAGGGTTCACCTTTAAAACAAAAAGCTGGTCAAGATGGGGATTTATTACCTTTCTTTGGAAGAGATAAGGGTGATGGTTAACTGTTGCATAACATCCCTTGTGTTTGTTCTTTTAGGTATAATCCATTGCCAGGTAACCAGAGCTAGTGGGGAAACCAGTTGTCTATGAGAAGTAGATATACCTGCTTCCAAATTCCAGCTGAGGGAGGGATCCATTTGTGGTGGACACACACCCTTCCCTTTGGCATTCAAACTGCGAGCAAACTCTCTACCTCCCTTTCACTCAAGGGTGCCTTTCTTCTCCTGTGCTACTGTTTAAAAAACCCCACCAACTTTCTCCACCTGCCCAGATAGGTTAAACAGCGATCTGGTCTTCCTCCAACATTAGTTATCCCATGACATGGCAACACCTGAGCTAACCTTTTCAAGGGGGAGGCACCTTTTTTCTTCACACTAGGAAAAGAAATTGTCTATCCAATAAAGATAGTAAGCGGCAGTAAAGGGCAATCCCAGACTTGTGTCTTTTCTAGTAGCAAGATACATAAATACCATTCTTCACAAACACTCTCCTTTTACTCCTCAAAACGTTTACACGTGACCCGACGCTCTGGGATTTACCCAGTACCAGCAAGAGAGCTTCCCTCTGGATCAGTATTCAGGGACAATGGAATGAGGAAAGCTTTCACTGCTGTTCCCCTTGCTATATGTTCTGTACATATGCAGGAATTAATTCATCAGGACCATCGATCTGGTCTTATCCTGAGTGCCAAAATTCACTTCAGTCAGAATGGATTTGTGGAAGAAAACAAGCTTGAGAATCACATTCTTTAGCACAGCTGCAGAACACACCTGCTCTCAACAGTCATCAGCACAGGCTGCCAGCCTAAGAGATCTGAAAAGAACAGGCAACAAGGAGCACGTAGGATCCTAGTGCTCTTCCATGTACTTACCGATAAACAAGAGGATAACACAAAACGACACTATCTCCAAAGTTTCAGCCTTGGGCAGCTTTTGGAGCTTCAGCAGAAATTTCTCACCAATGGTCTGTATTTCCTTCAGAAAGCCTTCAGAAGACATCCTGGCTAGCACTTCCAAGTTGTGTTATACTGGAGAAAAGCCAAAGAGAGAGAGTGCACATGAAGCTTTTCACTGTCAATATTACTAACACTAGGGAAGCAAACAAGCCTTCTTTAGGGAGCTAATTTGGGAACACAAGTAGAACACGTTTATCTGGTCTCAGCCCTTGCTCCCAATAGCTGAGGAAGGGGTACGTTAACGACCTGCCTATCCAGTCGTTGCTTTCATTCAGATCAGGAGCTAGGAGACACTCTGAGTTTGTATCCGATCAGTTTGTGGCTATGCTCTCCATCTGGGCTTCACTTCGCTGCTTTTAGAAAGCCAAATGACTCTGCACAGTTGGGCAAGGGCAAAAATATGGGTGTTCCCTCTGAAAAGACAGCCTGTTATGTGTAGGGTTTCATTAAAGCTGACTGGTGGCTGGCCAAGGATCTTGGGGTTGTCTTCCACAAAGGGAAATATTAATCATTGCTTTTCTTTGTTTCCAACTGTCCAAGCTTGCATTCTCCCAGAAAGTCAGCAGGCTTTCCCTTGCCAGCCTGAGAATTTGTGTCCCAGATCATGTACACAATGCTGCATTCTGAATGCAAAATGGTCTTCCCCTGTGTAACAGAACACACACTCCCTTTTAAGGCTTCTTGTAGTTCCAGCTGCAGAGTGCCTCTGTAAAACTCATGTAACATTTCTGGTTTCCAGGGAGGGTGATTGTGGGGATATTGTGAATTTTGGATGACCCACATCTATTTAGACACGTTGAATGCTTTAAGTTTTACAGTGAATTCTGACTTTTGTACCTGGTAAGATAAATGTGGCCCTGTTTGACCATACATTTGTAGTAATGTAATGGCATTTAGACTCCTACCCATAGTATATTGGGACAAAGGCGGAAGGGAGAACAACTGCTGCAGAAATCTATTTGACTTTAGAACCTAGTGTAGATAATCCTTACTTCCTTTTTCCTGCATTCTACTTGTAATTCCATCAAATAAATGAAAAGGCAACTTATTGTCAGGAGTTGAAAATACTTTTGATAAAATTATATTTATATAGCGTAACGTTTTCAAAGCTACTACGTCAATTGTATCCATAATATTTACAAGCCTGCTCTTTTGTGTGAGCAAAAACTTCTTGGTATACAAATGAATGAGTTTGCAATATTGCTGGAGAGAGATGTAGGGTGCTGTGTTTAAGAGCTTGCTTACCCTGAGAATGTAATTTGGTTTAAGGAAAGGTATGCATTTCAAAGCAGAATAACTAATCCTGATCAACTGCTTGCATGGATACTCTTTTTTCCAGAATAAGAAACTAGCAGAAATATTCTCCCTTATTCTCAACTAGCAGAAATATTTGGTGTTGCCTGGGGAAAATATAGTAAAAGGTGTGATGAATGAGCTACGTCAATGACCTTAACATAACATATTTTATTGGAAATACTTTTCTCTTATACATATTACTTTAATAAATTAACATAGCTAGTGATGTGCTTACAAAACACATTTACATTTAACTCATTTCTCTCTCACTGTAACTTGAGACCATTGCTCCTTGTTCTGCCATCCGTCGCTGCTGTGAACAGTCTTTCTCCATCCTCTTTGGAACCTCCCTTCAGGAAGTTGAAGGCTGCTATCAAATCCCCCCTCACTCTTCTCTGCTGCAGACTAAATAAGCCCAAATCCCTCAGCCTCTCCTCATAGGTCTTGTGCTTCAGCCCCCTAATCTTTTTGGTTGCCTCTGCTGGGCTCTCCCCAGTGTGTCTACATCCTTGCTTGAAGGGCAGGAGTGTAATGAAAAGATTTTATAGAATAGGTAGTGTATCTCTCCCACTCCCTCTCCAAAAACATCCCTAAGGCCAGGTCTACACTGCTGAGGAAAGGTTGGCTTAAAGTACACAACTCCAGCTACATTGAGTCCAGCTATGTTATTTACGTAGGTTAAACGGAGCTTGACATCATCTCTGCTTCCCTTACACCTCACAACAGTGAGGAGTACTGGTGCCACGGGGGTGCCCCCCAGCATTCGATTTAGTGGGTCTTTCCTAGACCCACTAAATCGACTCCTGGAAGTTTGATTAGCAAAGCGGCGATCCTCCGGTAAGAGGAAACGTGGCCTAAGATAAACAGGAACAGGTCACTAAGTCTGGAATAAGGACATCAGGACATCCATGCAAGGAGCTAATTAGGAATAGTTAATCTAGAATATCTTTTCTCAGTTAACTTCCCATGTAGACACACCCTGAGACCCGCACCACTCTATTAAGGTTGTAGTATGTATAGTAGGGATGTCAATGTGTAGTCGACTATACAATTAACCGATAAGCTGGGCTTCTTGGTTAATCTTATTGACTATACGCATTCCACTCCCTTGCAGTTGGCTCCCCGTGAGCACTGGTTCTTGTGGTTCTGTGTGATAGAGAAGCAACAGTGTGGATGGTGAGGGGGGCAGGTGGGAGCCGATACATGTGGGGAGACGGCTTTTAAGCTGGCTCTCTGTGCATGCTGACTCCGCAAAGCTGCCCGCCCCCTCTCTTGCTGCCTCCCACAGAGGCGGGGGTTGGGTAGGCAGGAGCTGGCTTAAAAGTCGCCTTCCCATGAGCACTGGTGCTGTTGCTATCAGAGGCAGCAGCGCAGGGGGAGGCAGGGGAGGCTGCCGCAGAGCAGCCTCTGTCCGTGGTGGGCCCAAGCTTGCTACGGACAGAGGCTACTTCATGGGATGCTGGTTCATCTTCTGTCCCCAGGGAGCTTGGACCCTCGCAGGCATAGACTGCTGCCACCTCGCATTGCTTCCTCTGTATCGGAGGCAGCAGCACAGGGTGACAGGGGGCTCTCTGTAAGTGGGGCTGGAGTACACTGGCCCTGACTCTGGGGAATATCAAATAATCCTGTAAATGCTAAGTTTTGATGCAGTTACATGACTATTCATTGAATAGATATCTAACATCCCCAATGTATAGTATCAAAGAAACTGAGTGGTTTTCCCATCGTGAGTTCTTCAACCCATTATGCTTAATAGTAGTGAAAGCTGCTTAGAAGAATATAGCCTGTTTAGACACATGCAGAATTTTGTGTATGGTGTGTGTTTGGATCCTCCACTAAGTTAAGGTTCTCATGCCATCATTCAGCTGAAATTTCTGACTTGTTTAAATTCCATTAGTTGACGCTATTTTATGGGAGTCTTTCATTTTGCAATTAATTTCTTCTTTTAGTGTTGACATAAAGCAGACAGATACAGAAAAGGCTTAAAAAATAACCCAATTCATTCACTGTTGCCCTTTCTACTTTGCTTTTGCCCAGTGGATGCTCTAGGTTCAGCCTTCAGTACCTTTAGAACAATTACTTGGTTCTTTCTTTGCATGGTGGGTTTAAATGCTATCCTGCTACGTGAAGCAATGCATTTTAAACATGAGTGTAATCTAGAGAGTTATTCTTTTAAAACCAAGGCTACAGAGTTTGTGGGAGAGAGAATCAGATGGATTCTTAGGGTCAAGGTGGGAAGAGAGACCAGGTCAAGTAGGAGGAGTGCTGCCAGGTGCAGTAAAGCACAGTTGTGGCCTTATCACCTGAAATGGTGTATCCTGATCAATATAATTATTAAATAATCTATAGATTACTTAAGAGTTCCCAGTTACCACTTTGAGGATTGACAGTTTCTTGTCCCAAGATCAGGCCCAATATTATGCTAGGAACTCTGATGTGAACAGTTGCAAAACTTACGCCTATAGGAACTCAACTCTGCTCTATTTACAAATCATTTTATTGACATTTAGCACAGTCACAAAGACTCCAGATAGAGAGTACAAACTGTACATCTGGACATCCTTGTGCTTACATTGTCCCTTACAGAACAGCGTGAAATGTTAATTATCTCTTTCTAATCACCAGTGATCATCATTCTGGCATCACCCCAGGGCTACATCTATTTCTCCTGCTCCCATAGGCTGAGGTGCAACTTTTATAATATATTATGCTGACACCACTATGTCTGATGCTTATTCAGAAGGGGGTTTTCCTCTTGTCCTTATTTCTATTTCCTTACCTTGCTAATGTTAGTGTCCTCCTATAGGATAGCATATCTGTGTTCCCCACTTATTATATGCGTCAGTTAGTTGCTGTGGTGCTTTTGTGGTTGGGTAGCTGCGGATGTAGCTCCTGTGCTAGTGGTTATCATGTTATCATGTATTTCAATTCATTGCTGTGTCACTCCTGTGTGGAATTTCCCCTTAAACGTTCTATTGTCAGCTCTCTGATGCTTAGGGTTTTTCATAGGGCAATTTACCTGTGTCAGAGTTCATGGCCCTCAAGCCTAATGTGAACTGCTGAAGCTTATGTCTTATGTGATACAGGCCTGTAGGTTGCTTGCATTACTACTGAATATAATACAAGCAGAATGAAAGGCAAGGCCACGAATATAATAAAGATAAGCTAGTGCTATAGGCTACAATGGCCATTACACAAACCAGGGTTAAATATTTTTCTCCAGGATTGATCTTCATGCTCCAAGTGGACTGTTCCACAAATGGCTTTTCTTCCACCTCTCACTCTGTTCTAGAATTCTGTGTCTGTATGTCTCTATTTTGTTGGACTAGAAATCGATGGAAGGTCTGAGGAGGGGGTGAAAGTCGGTGCCTTAGGGGTAAAACCCTTCGGTTTATTTGTCCCAATGATGTCTTTCTGCCTGGAAGATCCCACAACAAACAGTGTGGCAGAAATGTTTTTGTGCCTTGCAGTGGGCTGGGGAGAGTTGTTCGTATGATATGGGCTAGGACAACAGAGTATTAGTGAGAAATGTAGGTGTGCTTCCATAGTATGGGTATGATGCTATGTGGCTTCATGTATAGTTCAGTCTAAATAGGCTGTCCAGGATCCTGCCTTGCCTCTGTTCTAAAGCTTCAGAGAGGTAGCTGAGTTATTCTGTAACTAAAAAAGCTTAAAAGGCAACGAATAGTCTGGCAGCACCTTATGAAGGTATGAACAGGGCTGGATTAAGGGGGGAGGGCAAGCCGGGCAGCTGCCCGGGGCGCCAACCTATGGGGGGCGCCTGATGGCAGCTATAAGGGGCACAATCAGGTGCCGCGTGCCCCGGTCTGGGGGCCTCACGGCGCCCGTTAGAGCTGCAATCAGTCACCGTGCACCCGATTGCAGCTGTAAGGTGTGCAGCGGGCCGGGGCCCACGCATGTGCCGTGCGCCCAGGGGTGGAGCCGTGTGCCCACTGCCCAAGGCGCAGGAATGACTCAAGCCGACCCTGGATATGAATAAATACATTACCTGGCTAGCACAATGCCTTCCACATCCTAATGACTTAACCAACCAAACAATGAGTACTTAGAGAAGGTACAAATTGTTTTTATCAGCTTTATGTACCCATGAACACTCTAATTCACTATTTTTCCCCCTTCCTTCTTCTGCTCCCTCTCCATCCCCTATTTATTTTGGAACTGGACTTTCAGTACTCCGTTCACCTGAAGAAGTGGGTTGTACCCATGAAAGCTCATGATACCGTCTACAAGTTTTGTTAGTCTTTAAGGTGCTGCTAGACCACTGGTTCCCAAACTTTTCAGCATCATGTCCTGTTTTTGATTTTTGAGAAACCCTCACGCCTCCCCACCTCTTCTTTACCATCATCCAACCCCCCTTTTAA